CGTCTTGTCTTCTGATCGTGTCCTGGTCCTTCTCCACGGACCCCTCAGGGTTTTAGGCTCGGAACTCGGAGAAGGTGAGTTTTATTCCTGTAAGCCTGGCTCCTAGGAGGAGACCAGTTTAAAGTCCTGCTGAAATCCTGGTGCCCCGTCTTGTCTCTGCTTCACTCAACCACCCAGCCTGCCCATCTGCTTCTGTGGCTGTCTGTCTGGACACGCTTCTGGACCCGTCTGTATCTGAACCTGCCTCCACGCTCTGAGGAATCCTGGTAGCCTAGATCCCTATGTTCCTGTTTGGGCCGAAACCGCTGATCAGCTGAGGACTCTTGGATTCCTGGTCTGCTGCTGTCTGTTCTGTTTTCCCCTGACCAGGGTCGGCTTTCAGCTTGTTCTCTGGGGCTGCAGCATCTGGGACACTCTGGGTGGTGCCAGCCAGTGTCCCATCGGCTGGATATCACCCCTTTCAAAGAGGGTGGACTGAACTGTCAAACCAGGTAAGTGACCCAAATGGATAATCATCTCCTGTCAGATGATCATGGTCACTTACCTGTGTTCCTCCCTTCAGAGTGTCCAAGTGTCCGAGCCGCAGCTCCACAGTCCCACGCTTTTGTTCTGTTCCCTTCGTTGTTTTCTAAATAAACATTTTTAATATACCTGACTGTCTCACCTTGAATACTGGGTCTACCTGTCCCGTTTTATGACAGTGAGCCCCACAGGTGTCTAACCAGGTTTGTACTGGCCTAACTGGTAATGTGACGATACTTGGACTGGTGTTTTTAAGTCTAAGCTTTCACTCCATACTTAAATAATCCCACTGAACAATGCTTTGTGTAGCCTTTAATGATGCTGTTGTTGTTAATTCATTTTAAATTTTATACAGCAAAACTGATCTGAAAATAAAATTTTTTTTAATGATGTATTTGCCCTTAATTTCAGGAGGTGATGATCTGCCAATCGAATTTATATGTTTTCTCTTAAAAACAAGATTTATTTTCAAACTTTTTTTATGCTTGAGATTTTCTCTTTTTTTTATTTTTTTTATTTTTTGCATTTTATAGATCACATCATCTTCACTTCCAGCTCAATGAAAACACTCACTCTTGACCAATAGAAATGGTTCTTTGCTCATTGCTCCAGAGAAATGCCCACCCCCAAAGGGAAAGAATGAGAATGTGAAACACAATTTGATAAGAATTACATTTAAAAAACTTAATCTAAAAAAACCAAACATTTAAAAAAGAAATAAAATACATAAATAATGACAAAACAATTAAAATAATTTGACAAAATAAAATCTAAGTAATCAGCAGAAACACTTTATATTTTTTTTTAAGTTGATTTTCTGTATTGTGTTTTTTTTCACATTAATTTACGAGCAAGTTTTTGCCTGAGAAAAAAAAAAATAGAACAAAGTTCACTCCGTACATGTAGGAAGCCGGATTATTTATGCCTAAAATGCTGTGAAAAGACACACAGATGAAAAAAAGAGGAGAGAGTGGGAGGATTGAGGAACAGTTTCCTCCTAAATGTTCTCCTGACTGAGAATAAAAGGCTGGGAGGAAGGCGTGGCTCTGGTTTGATGGACAGGCGGATCTCATTGGGGAAAACTAAAATAGTCGGATTATCCAAGACTGGCAGGGAATGAGCAGCTCTTTCATCCACAGGATCAAACTCTGACACCAACATAGCCGTCTAACAGCAAAACAAGGAGTTTCTTTGCAAACAAGAAGCATCTGCAGCCTTCGGGACAAACCAATGCTGACTCCCACAGCAGTGAGTGACAGAAAGAGAAATTAAATCAAATCCCTTTGTGAGAAAAGCAGATTAGTTAAATCCTTGATTGACAAATATCACCTTCACACCTATCTGCTCCTGAAATGAGGAGTCTAAAGCTTCAGCATTTGATTTGGCCCTGCAGTAAAAACGGCAGCCGCTGGGAAAGCGAATGGACAAATTTTAATATGTCTCTCGTCTTGAAATGCCAGCAACAGTTTCAATCTGGGAATAGGAAGGATGGGCAGAACGCGCAAATACAGAAAGGAATAATCCAACTGAGGGCCCATTTTCTAAGCCTGACTTCCCCATCAAATCATTTGGGTTATGGTGGCTGAACAGGCCCACTTATATTTCTATTTACTTTCTCCACCATCGCCCCACAGCACACCCACAATTTTCCACTCCGTGATCCGGACAAATCTAACTCCGATTGGATCGACTGCGATCCAATCAAATAGGGAGCCTGAAAATGACCTGATTTAAGGTCTGAACACGAGCCTGAATCCATCAGCCATGCAGGAAGTACAGGCCTCCACCTCACTGTCCGTCTCCATGTGGGAGCATCGAGGGGCGAATCACGGCTTCGGCCGACTCACCAGGCATCACTCTCTGCACCGTTACCCTGGTTACGGCAGGAGGAAATTAAAACAAGCCTCAAAGGGTTTTAAAGTGTTATGGAAATTTAACAAAGTGAAGTTTGATTCTTGAAATACTTCTAAAGTAAGGAGCTGGTCGAAGATGGAGGATCAGCAGTCGGTGGGATTAATTGATAAAAAGGGGTCAGTGGAAGAAAAGCTTCCCCTTTGATTTAATAAAAGAGCCTAAAAAAATATGGAGGACCAACTCTGCCATTTAAAAAAAAAAAACACATAAATAAATAAATGCTCAATAAAGAAATAAGCATCCAATTAATTGCGCCCTAGAATACAATAAACTGATAAATGTAGGTAGAAATTAAATTATACAGTGAGACATAAATGTATGAATCTCGTTTAATTAGCTTATTTATTTATTTGTTGACCCTTTAAGACACACCCCTCCTCATTTGCATAATGATGCAGGAATGCAGACAGAAATGTAAAAACAACAGGCAGAAATAAATAGCTTTGAAGAAATAAATAGGGTAAAAAATACAAAGGAAGAATAAAACAGACAAAAATATTACCACATGCACATAAATAAATACTTTAAAAATAAGTAATAAATAAATAAAGTTGAAGATTATAGCAGACAATAAATAAATAAGGTAATTATTACAAAGGCGAATAAATAAAAAAGCTATATACATTTATGCCGCCTTGCATAATTTAAATTCTACCTACATTTATTTGTTTATTGTATTTAGGGGGGCAATTAATTGTATGCTTATTTATTTACTGAGCATTTATTTATTTCTGTATCTATTTTTAAATATGGCAGAGATGGTTCTCCATAAAAAAAAAGGTCTAAAAGATAAGGCCTGACTGGAAACAGTTAGTGTTCATTTAAAGTTTTAAAACTGTTTGACGATTCCACACTCAAAGTTTTCATGAACCGTTATACGTGAGATATCTGTGGACACAAACAAATGTGATCGGCTTTTGATTTACTGTTTACTATGTTAGCTAGAGCTAACACCATTAGCAGAAGCTAACGTAAAATCAAAATCAAATCAGAGGATAATGAATGAGTGTTTAAAGTGACAGTGAAGCATCTTTCAGTCGTTGTAAATCGTTGTTCGAATATATCTGAGAAGATGTTTTGATCCTGACGCTAACTTCCCTTTTCTAAAGATTTAACGATAGTTAAATTGACTCTTTTGCACTCTATGACTTTGGTCTCATCGTGTAAAAAAGCAATCCCATATGAGAGGAAAGGAGGGAGATGGAGGGAAATCACAGAAGCTATTTTTATGACATTTAA